AACAAAAAAAGATCACTGTATCATATTTAGTTGTGGATGCATAAAGATTGCAAGGAATCATGGTTGGAGAACAAGTAATTTCTAATGTTGATTTCAAGGTGAATAGATTGCCCCTACTTTGAAGTTTGGCTCAATTATACACTAATTCTAATTTTGTTGAATCTCGCAAATATACAAGAGAAATTAAAAAAGAAGATAAACTGAAATGGCAAAACTAGATCTTTTTATGGTTGAAGAATGCGGAGTTCCTGTATTTGTGAAACATTATTAAATGAAGCATGCAACATGGTTATTTTATGCTATGATCTTAATCGTGATCGCGGCTGGGAAGGAGAAATTCATAGTTGTCTTTTTCCTAAACTGTTTGCCAACCAAAAATAAAGAACCAGTCTCTTCGACTATTTAATCCATATCTAGGAGCAAGAGCCTTTCCAATTCCGAGCCGTTACTCATTTCAACATCCACACATTCAAGCTTACAGCACCTGATATTCCTAAGCGATCACTCATCTAGGTCTGGCCAGGGTCAACGTTGCTTAATTTCGGTGTACGTACAAAAACCGGTATTTCAACGAGATGTGGCTGTAAGTCTTTTTTGTTCATATAATCTTTCATCTAAATTCCTCGTGGTTTCTCATACATATTCCTTGTGGCAATCATTACAGGTAATGGAATAAATTCCCCCTTCAAGTTTTAGCTTATTATTATGTTTTGCACAAGGAAAAAAGATATGTCAACTAATATGGAAAAGATATGTTAATTAATATATTTTCCCATATTAATTTATGTCTTTTCTTTATATAAAGACATTTTTATGTTTATACATTCTTTTTATGGATACAAATATTTAAATAAATGCTCTGTTTATAATAAACAGTATTAAACAACATTTACCAGCCTGAATGTCCGAGAAATTTTCATAGAATATATTTGTACTCCGACAGGAATCGAACCTGCATTTTATACGGAAGCGCCATATAGCCTGACGTACCTTTAACGGATTGGGCCACAGTGAACCGTTCGGTTAGCAAGGTCGATTTTACTGTCTTTAAACTACAATCTTCCATGATTCTCTCACGTACATTCATATCTGCTAATGGTGTATCCAAATGTAAACAAATGACGTCACACATTATGAAATGGACAAAGTCCGACAATTATTTTAAGATATTTTTATGTTTATACATTTTTTTTATCGATACAAATATTTAAGTAAATGCTCTGTTTTATAATAAACAGTATTAAACAACATTTACCGGCCTGAATGTCCGAGAAATCGTCATAGAAAATATTCATCAGGCCGGTAAATATTGTTTAATTTACTTTATTTAGAACATTTACTTAAATATTTGTATCTATAAAAAGAATGTTTAAACATAAAAATGTCTTAAAATAATTGTCGTCCATTTCATAATATGAATAAAGACAAAAGGAAAGCATATCTTAGACGAGTAATTTCATCCTCTGAAGGACTTTTTTTCCTTGATAAATTCCCTCAGAGGACTAAAAGAGTCGGCTAAGTTTTCCTTTTGTCTTTATTCATATTGTCCACATTTACAATATATATATATATATATGTGTGTGTGTGTGTGTGTGTGTGTGTGTGTGTGTTTGAGAGAGAGAGAGGGGAGAGAGAGAGAAAAGAGGGAGGGAGACAGATTTATAAAAGGAATGAGAAGATGACAACCTATTTTTACAACGCGTTTCGTACCTTAAGGACCGTGAACCAAGGCAAATGTAGAAGTTTGCTGAGAGACTTATATTCATATACCCAGAAAAGATTATGGTTGAGAAAAGTAAAGTCAAGCGTTCCAGTTTAAATTTGAAAACACTGGAAAATATATTCGAAAATCTAGTGAAAGTGCGGGAAATATGGCTGATGTAATTTTGACATGTTTTTAAACGAAAGAAAATTAATTTCATCAATTTCCGTTCTCCTTATTTTTCTTCTTTTTGATTACGCCGAGAGATTTCCGAATATATTTCAAAATGTTTTCAAATTTAAATTGAAATGATTAATGTTATTTTTCCCTCAACGATCAACTTTTTTTTTGCGTATATAAATGCAGGTTTGTCAATAAACTTCAACGTCTACGTTGAAGTTCCACCCAAAATGAAATGCGTTGCAAAAATAAATTTTCCACTTGTTTTTTTTTTTTTTGTTTTATTTTGTTTTGTTTTTTTGGGTTTTTTATCCTTTTATTAATATTTTATTTGCAGACAAATTGAGTTATATCTTTATTTCTACACACAACAGAAAAACCTTGTGACGCGCTTCATCCATCTATCCAAAAGACTTCAGTTTGTTAATGGTTTTATCGATGTTATTGTAGGGACATTATTATTATAACTAAAAATAAAATATAAAATAATAATAATTAAAATTATAAATAAAATAAAACAGTAATATTTAAATTCTTTTTTTTTTAAATTAAATAAAAAAATAATAATAATAAAACTCTCCCAGCATGCAACAAAAACTGTTCCTGCCGGAAATACGGACATCCCGCCAAAAACCGTTAACTTCAATCTCTTGACCACACACCTTGGTACGGGCAACACATGTCCGACTTCTCTCTGTGATATGGCTTGTAATACTACGGAATAATTTCTCCCTTTTATCTCATGTAAATAAAAGCACTTGTAACCTAAAAAATTAAACACGCCAATAAACACAAAAATATAAATAAATTGTATGAAATTAACATATTATTTACCATGATTTGCCTGTTATTTCTTCACGTTTTATTTCCTGACAAATATGCTTTTACTTTGGTGAACACGAGGCTAATTTCTGCCACTACCTGGGTTTGAATGAATCCCAACAGTATCTTATATACGCAGAAGGAGGGAATTGCAACATACGCCGGTTACAATTTTACAACGAGAAATACTGAAGTTACAGGGACTCTTAGATTTTTTTTTTAAATTTGGCGTCCGATGTATCTAAATTCATAACCTAGGTTAAGCAACGTTAAATTTGATCACTACCTAGATGAGGGACCACTGGAGGTGTGCGGATGGTGTAATGAAAAAAAGGCTCTGAATAAGAAATCGGTGAGCTGAGTTCGGATTCATTTACGCGCAAATACCATTTGAAAAAAAAGGCATGACTCCACCTCTTCTCCTCCGAAATATGGGTTAAACAGTAAAAATTGTATCAGGAAATCATCATCTCCGAAATATACTTACAATTCAAAAAATATGTTTTGGCTTTAAATAATCTCTAAAAGGTAGATAAACCGTAAAAAAACAAATCAATGAATTATAACCCAGCTGATTTCATTCAACTTTCTACTGTTTTTTTGTCTCTGCTATTTTTAAATATTCGCTACTGTAATTATTCTGGACGTGAATTTATTGAGGAAAACTCAAAAATTAGTGCACCTTCATTATATTTTCGCCTTAATAAATTAATTTGGCTTTTAATTAAATCTACTTTTAACTTCGAAATAGGGTCACATATGCCCAATGTATAAATTGAATAATTAATTATGGAGCGTATCTTTTTATAAAACATCTCTTTTATGTTCATATAAACTTTTTTATTAGTGTTAGAGATAACGGCGTGAAGAGGCCCAAGGTAAATGGGGCTAATTGTTCGCCTGGCAAAGGAAAACCTGAGCAAAAGGTATCATCTGACTGATATCCAGTGACCCGAACACTTATACTCAGAATCATAAAGAGACAGCGACAATTCATTAGGGCAAATAATTAGGAAAGAAGGATTAGAAAATTTTACACTCACAGGGCATAGTGTATTCAAGAGGAACAGAAAGAAACATTGAGTAAACTGCCAACCGTGTTTCTCTCATCATCAACTGTAGCTACGTGCAATGTATAAAAGTCAAGCGGACTTAGCATCTTGACAAAAAAAAAATAAAATAATAAAATAAAAGTCTTGCTGAAAATGTTGTTTATCCAGAGATTTTAGAGTTTTTTTTTTCTTTTTTACAATGATGGTCGATCTTTAGAAGGCCCAAGAGACACTCGAGATAGAGTGTTATATAAAAAGAGACACAGTTTATGGGGATATGTGGGAAGATAATCGTTAACGCTAAACTTGAACAGGTTAAGATTGCAGTGATCGGGGAAGCATCCTCGTGGGAAGAATCTGCTGGAGTGGAACTTATGTCTCACGAATGGCATACGAAGGAAATGAGGCTGGTTTGCGACAATGTTCGTGGTATGACGGTTTTTAAGCCTTGAAGGTTAGAACTGGTGGAATCAAGGTATGTAGTTCGTCTGAGTCCTTATCAGCGATAGAGCAGTGAGGGGCTCGTGACGTTTCGTCTTTGAGAAAGAGGCTGTAGGGCGGAAAATAATTCATCACCCACAAGGACGTGGTAAGATAACATTTATGACAACTTACATTTCTCTGCTTATAGAATGGGTATTTGGCTCGTTAAATAAAATAATCATTCAGCCATTTATTTTAAACTTTAGGAGAGCGTCCGCCCTGGCGCGATGGCAGAAGCACTTGTCCTTCTGAGTAATTCAAATACGTGAGATTGACCCTCCCCGTCGCGTTTCTTTGTCTCTGCGCCAGTTCAGAGCAACTCGACGTGGTTCAGTGATTGACTAATTAATTTCAAGGACAACAATGTAGTGAGTTCAATTACACCTGTGGCCTTGTGCCAGATGTAATTAAGCGGAATAAATACTTATATTGAACTCTACAGAATTCTTCCTGTATAAGTCGCAAAAAAAGGTAACAAAAGAACATTGGGTAAATATGAGGCTATTACCCTGTTTAGTTCGTAAACGACAGACGTGCGACGCGCATTCGATTATTTCTGTCCAAGATAATTTCTATCCATTCAGTCTGGAATTATTTAACGGTTGCCAGGAACTTGGGGAATCAATAAATAGAATTACAAGAATAATGGCAGCGAATCTCGGCTGTCAAAATTTCTAAATTGTGTTTGGTAAAGTTGAGCCGGGCTGATTGCAACAACTCCGATACAATTTGACAGTTGCGAAAGAATCGGTTCACCTTGACTATCCGAGGCAACAATTGCCAAAAAAAGAAAAGAGAACCTTGTATGAAAACAATAAATAATTGAAGGAGAATTTGGGTGACAATTCTTCGGATAAAGACACGCCAGAAAGAATCGACAAGGAAAAAAAAGTTAATGATGATGACAAAAAAAAGGTGCAAGCAAAGATGGCGGAAAAGCGAAAAAAAAAGGATAAAGAGAAAGAAAAACAAGAGGAAAAGAAAAGGAGCCGCAATAAAAAAAATAATTTTGTGAAACAGATTATCGTAAAAGAAGAAAATAATAATCTTGAGTAAAATAAAAAAAAAAGGAAATAAGAAAGGAAGGAAAAAGTCTGACATGAAGAGAAGACAATAAAAGTGGGGGAATAAAATGGCTGCCATAAAGAAGATAAAGAAATAGGAGGGTATATAAGAAGACAAATGACAAAGTTAACCATATGGAAAATAATATAGGTTGCAGAAAGAAAGAAAGAAAGAAAGAAAGAAAGAAAGAAAGAAAGAAACTGTAGTGTAAGAAAAAAAGAAAGAAGTTGGTAAAAGAAAAAAGGAAAAAAAAAATGGATGTTGAGAGAGATAACCGTGAGGGGTGAAAAGAAAGAAAGAAAGAAAGAAAGAAAGAAAGAAAGAAAGAAAGAAAGAAAGAAAGAAAGAAAGAACTGTAAAGAATATAAAAAACGAAAAAAAAGAAAGAGAAAAAAAACGGAATATAGATTTAAGTGTAAAAAAAAAGAAAGAAAGAATGAAAGTAAAAAGAAAAAAAAGGAAAAGAAAAGAAAAAAAAGTTGAAAGAAAAAGGAAAATCAAACGAATGTTGAAAAGAAATCAAAGAAAAGAAAGAAAGAAAGAAAGAAAGAAAGAAAGAAAGAAAGAAAGAAAGAAAGAAAGAACTGTAAAGTATATAAAAAACGTAACAAACGAAAAAGAAACGGAGATATAGATTTCAAGAAAGAAAGAAAGAAAGAAAGAAAGAAAGAAAGAAAGAAAGAAAGAAAGAAAGAAAGAAAGAAAGAAAGAAAGAACGAAAGAAAGAACGAAAGAAAGAAAGAAATGTGAAGGAATAAATCTACGTAAGAAAGAAAGACTCATTGTCGGTTCATCAAGACAGACATGTCAAATAAATATTGATCGTGCCTGGAGCGACACCTAGCGTATCCAAGATGAAGCTCCATTCGCAATTACTGCAACTATTACTCCCCCAGTTCTGCATCTATTAAAGGAGCTTGTATGACAAGCTGCTGATGCTGATGTTACTGCCCCCACCATAGATACCCCTACTCTGACCACCGCCACCATTGCTGCTACTGCTTTTATGGTTGGTGTTATTGTCGTAAGTACCACAATTGATGAACAAAGGAAGGATTACCCGCTTCAATATGGAGAATGCTTTTGTCATTTACTTTGCTCTGAAAAGAATAGAGGCGCTTACAGCGCGTTCGCTGGGAAAGCCGCCATTTTCTCCCGCCTACTCGATTATGTTCGAACCGGCTACAGCTGGTAATGACAAATCATTAATGATAAATAGATATAAATATGAATAAAGTAAATGTATATAAGTCCTGAAAGTCCTTTCTCTTGTTAGAATCTGAAACGTATTAAGCTTTTTAATTAAGTTATTCCATGTAACAGTTCAGTTTTCAAACTTGTGCACCCAGAAAGCCAGTTCTCTTCGACAGCATATTGGGGATTTGACCATCGGGAACGGCTTTTCTTATATTTTGGTTATTAACATCTATCAATAACATCCGTGGTAAGTCTACGATCCCTACGAAGAGACAAGCCATTAATTCATATTAATAAATCAGTGAAATATTAGGTTGTCATTGTGTACAATATAAGCGAACTCTTTGAAGTGTCTGGCAATCAGTTAAGAACAATTCAAAAGATAAAGAAACTGGTGCTGTATGAATTGTCGATAAGGAATACTAGTTTGTGTTTAAGCAATTCTCTTTCATTTCTTCATCGACGTAAAATATTTTTGGACATGATAACCACTGGCGATGAAAACAGGGGACTAGAAAATGAACATTGACGACAGCCTATAACAGATTAAAAAAAAACTACCGACATCTCTCTCTCTCTCTCTCTCTCTCTCTCTCTCTCTCACATACACAAACATAAATACACAGGCACACACACGCACTTTCTCTACCCTCTTCTCTCTCTCTCACACACAACCATACACACACTCCCTCTCTCACTAACACATGCACACATACAAAACCCACATGCACACAAACACACACTCTCTATCTCTTTCTTTCTCTGACACGTACACACATATACGCACACAAACACTCGCGTTCTCTCCCTCTCCTTCTCTCTCTCTCTCACTCACAAACACACTTTCTCTCTCTTTCCTCACATACACACATAAATACGCACACAAACACACATATACTGACTCTCTGTCTCACATATGCACACTGTCCAATGACAATACTTCATCACGAATCGCTGCATCAAAAGAAAGTGTTAGTTAACGAGGCGACAGTGAGCAATTGGCTCATTTGAAAACCTGAAACAAAATGGCGTCTATTTATACAAAGATGTTGACTAATGGTTTTACTAAATGACAAGTCCTGTCTTCGTTTTATAAACCCCAACTGCCATTTTCATTTCGTAAATACAAACACAACAAATAACCATTGAACTCGTTGAAAAAAGAATTCATTGAATCAAAACCGGAATCGTTTTTGATTGTTTTGACTTTTTGATTTTTAATCATTTTACCCCAAGCAAGGCAATAAAGCCACTAAGACGCAAGAGGGTTACGAAGTGTGAGAGAATATGGGAAAAACTACTATTAAGGAGAGAGGAAATATTTTTCTTCTTCTTTGTGGTTTTCAGATATATGTTTTATAGCGAAATATCGAATTAAATTGAAAGGTAGCATAATCTGACAGGAATCAATATTTTGATGCTTGATCAATGAAACTAGGAATAAAAATCAATCATATAAAATATATCATTGATCGTTTTAAATATTAATTTATCCATTTATTTGCTTAATTTCGTTTGATTAAAGCAATATTTTTTCATTCTTTATTTTTTAAAATTCTTCTTTTACTTTTTTATTCTTTTCTACTAGATTCTTTTCACTTAAGATATTTTAGTTTTGACTGTATAAAATATAAAATGGTTTGTGGCTAAATACTGGTTGTGGCAAGTAAATTCCAAATCTGTGAGTGTTCATTTAAAAAATAAAAGCGGTTTTTTTTTTTCGAATAAAGTAATTTATTGATATTAAAATGAATCGAAAAAGTCAAAAGAATAAAGATTCTTTTTTCGACAATTTTGAAATGTCTTCATATTTTTACATGTTTACACATTTTTTTGTGATATTGCTCATAATGCCACGGTTAATCAATACGTGAATCGATCTGATAAGACTTCAATGCATTCATTTGATATTTACCTTTCACAGAATATGAACAAAACGGATTACAGGCAAGAAAGAACTTTAAAGAAATGTGTTTTTAGGATTTGTCTTTAAAATCAGTCTTAAATATAAAAAAAATAAAAAATTAGATATAATCATAATATGAAACACTTTCATAAAAGTTTCTTATATATTTTAATACATTTCTCTTGACTTGAGCAATAAATATATTGTTTGTTTGACTTGATAAAAATAAGATAGATAATCGATAATCAGCCAATTCAATGACCGTGTTTAAGATGTTTTATCATAAGCGGTCTCCTCGTAGAATCAGGATCGACATTGCAACCATGAAGCCATTAGATGGAACAATCTGAACTAAGTTGTCAATTAAAGCCTATAATTAAAAAAGTCAGTCAGGCAACGAAATTGTTAGAGTATTTCATGCAAAATCTTAAGAATTCGTTTTCAATTTAAAAAAAAGTGCAATAAGCAAGTAATTTTGTTTGCTGCTTTATTCAAATCTTATCAACATACGCATGCGCTGTTTTTTAATACAATCCTAAGGCTAATTATGCCCCTTTGAAACACTAAAATTTTGTAAAAGATTTTTTTTAATTATCTCCCAGAATTGATGCTTCAAAAATGTTCGTTTAAAAAAAATATGTCGTCTGTCAATTTCTGCGGAGTTTAAAAGATTGGAACTTAATACTCTGTTGATGCAATGTCGAGTTTCGTTCACAAAACTTGTCTTGATTATCTCAAAAGGCATAATAATAATAATAAATAATAATAATAATAATAATAATAATACTGAGAACATCGTACGATGGGATTTAAATTTTAAAGTATTTAAATTTTCAAAAAATTGTCAGATCACAAAATTTACTTCGAATATTTAATTAAATTATCTCTCTCTCTAAAGCCTTCATATATATATATGTGTGTGTGTGTGTGTGTGTGTGTGTGTGTGTGTGTGTGTGTGTGTGAAGAAAAAGATTTTATGGGAAATCATGATAAAATTTTAAAAAATAAAAACGCATCACACGATAAGGTTTTTTCCTTTGTCATAATTTTCCCTAATATATTTCAAACTCGTCACAACACATTATATTGCATCTAGACATTGGTTCTTTTGGTAATATTTCGTTCTCTCGCGTGGTATGACGTCATAGAACCGCATCATGAATTTACGAACTGCGTCTGCTATCCTTCGACCGTTATCGTCACATAGCAATTGTCTATGTCAACATAACAAAATAACATCTTTGTTAAAAAGTCCCTATAACCACTCTGAAGATGGCTCATGTGAGTCGAAAGCTTAAATCAAGGACTAACTTAATAAAAAAAATATCCAAATGTTGAATAATTTTTGTCTTTCGAAAATTAAGGCAAACATACGAACATTAGAACGGCTAATGATCAGAGTTATCAAAGTATGTTATCGAAATGTTTTAAGTTTTCCATCTTTGAACCTAACGAACCACTTACAAGGAGCACTTTTAGCAATGGCACAGATCTTTTTTGCTGTTTCTCCAGCATTTATTTCCATTTCCGGAAATGAAGGAGCATGAAATGATGAAACGAAGTGAAGTGTTCAAATACTATCTATCGAAAAAGACTACAAAATTCTTATATCAGTACATAGATAGATAGATAGATAGATAGATAGATAGATAGATAGATAGATAGATAGATAGATAGATAGATCTCTGGCATAGATCTCTTAAACAAACACAGATGTACTTGGGCAGCTGTCTGCAAAAGTGATTGTATAGCCGGCTTAGACGAAGAAAGGCATATTCAGAAACAAGACAGATAATAATATATATATATATATATATTATATATATATATATATATATGGTATATATATATATATATATATATATATATATATATATATATATATATATATATATATATATATAAATATATATATATATATAAAGCTAGGCCCACTCTGGGTCCTATATACATGGTTAGCAACTAGTCTATGAGAATGAAAACTCTGAATTGAAAACCAGCCTGGAGAATGTTTACAAAGGGTGGATGAGCTTCTTATAGGAGCCAACGACCAACATCCTCCTCGAACATATACAGAGTGTAACAGCATAATTATCCATCCCACAAAATGTTTAATATTTAGAAAACCACTAAACTAATTGAGTTTCTTTTTTTCTAGGTTTTCAGATAAGAAGTTTAGCCATCTTGTTACCATTTCTCGTAAGAATCACTGAAAAATCCTTAGACTTATTCAGCTAAAAAGAGAGTCGGTAAAAATTGTTTTGTGTCAGTGTCTTCTCAAATGAGCAACGCTGAGAGGAAAAAATCATTCATGCCTTCAGTAATGGTACCAATATTCATACTTCCATTTTGAAGTCCATTCAAGAATCATCAAGAGAATGATGAATAAGTTTTAAAAAGGAGGGAACAGTAGAGAGGAAAACAGGATCAGGAGGATCACAACAGCAAGAGGGATCCTGATTTCAACTTAGAGCTTAAAAGATCAATTAGAAAAGATCCAACTCAATTCATAAGACGTTTGGCAGGTGAGAAAGAAGTATCAGTTATGATAGTCCAAAGAGCAGTGAAAAAGTCTTAAAAATGAAATAGTACGTGAAACGTGTAAGGCATCTTGTTACTCCATGATAGAAAATTAGAAGGTTAGAAAGGGCTAAGATCATCATGAATAAGTTCGAAAATGATCCTGGAATTATATATATATATATATATATATATATATATATATAACTTTATTTCAGAACTTCATGATTTTCCGATGCCTAGCTATGCTTAATTAACGATAAACATCATTTTCGTTTTTATAGTATAAATAATCATTTTATTGTCCTTCCTGTTCAATAAAGTCTTATCATTCTGTTCCACTCCAAGTATCCCTTTGCGTCCTAGTGGCATTATCGCCTGGTTTATGGGAAATGACTAAAAAGATAGATAGATAGATAGATAGATAGATAGATAGATAGATAGATAGATAGATAGATATAAACGTT